TTTCCAAGAGGGCCTTAGCCCCTGGGCAGGGGAAAGCAGCAAGGGAGAGCACCAAAGGGGTTTTCTTCTCTTCCTAACAATTTTTACTTTCAATATTTTCCTTAATGAGTCTCTCTTATTTTTCAAGTTGGAATGCATTTTTAAATATTCAGGTGTATAACACGCATTTACATTCATATTGAGAAGAGCTGTTTTTCACTGCCTCCTTTGCCCCCACCAGGACTTTCTGGGCTTGCTCTTGAGGGTCTCCATCTGAAGGCTGCTAGCTAAGCCTGCTGGAGAATGATCGTCTCCCGGAACAGTCCCAAAGACATCCAGATCCCCAACAGAAATTCCTCTCGCCTTCCATTTCCTCATTCAATTTCCTTTCATTTGTCTCTAGGGCAACTCCTGCAATGAAAAGTTTTAATTGTTCCCCACCAGGTTGGAAAGGGCACATCCAGCGTGTTTAATAATTTGTCTTTGCTGTTGGCGTGGGTGATAGATGAGACACATTAAAGTATCGTTTCCTCCTTGGATCACGTTGCACAGATAACCTGCTCTCCATGAGGTGGAGGCAGCCAGGGACCCTGAGAAATGCAAAGGTCACCCCAAATTCCTAGAGCTTTGGGAGATGGGCACAAGGCAGGGACAGTTGAAAGAGCATGCAGAGCCAGCCCAGCTGGTTCCGGGCCTGGCTTTGCTCTGTCCTTGCTTTGTAACATTGGGAAGATGCCTTATATTGTCCCCAGCCCTCAGCTTTGGCCTTGGTCACTGGAGAATACAATACCTGTTTCCTGAGGCCTCAGAAGATTAATTGAAGGTTATTAAAGAATCTGTGCATAAAATAAGGGCTGAATAAATAAAACCCCCTTTTGCACCTGTGATTCTTCATGGGTCCGGACAATATGCCCTTCCTGATGGCTCTGACACGCACCTAACATCCATGTGACATCCAGTTTCCACATATGCACCCACTAGGCGTGTCCAGTTAACATGGAAACATCTGCTCCTGTTCTCCAGAGATGATAGTCTGGTGAAGCTTGGGAAAAGGTGGGGTGCTGTTTTAAATCTTCAAATCCAGGAGGATTGGCTGGCAGAGCAGGGGCCCAAGGAATGCATTCTGACGGCTGCACAATGCTCCAGGAAGCAGCCGAAGCCTCCTGTACCCAGGATCTGGAACCTGAGTGTTGACATTGTTCTCTGACAGATGAATAGGTGGAGGCCCAGGCCATGGAGGCATCACAGGACAGATACAGCTGCTGGTTGACACTGGGAATTCAATAGCCACGTTTTGGTGAACGAGTGAACAAGTGACGGAAGTCTGTCTGGCCCACTGGTCTGTAGAAGGCTTCTGGTCCTCCCCACCCTGCCGCCAACCTCCTTCCCTCTTGCTCAAGTCACTGTCCTGAGGGGCGGTCCTCACCCCTGCAGGCCCTGGCTCGCCCACCTTTTCAGATTCCCATGGCACACAGAGCCCTTAGCACGGCAGTAGGATGCTGCAAAGCCTGGCTCGAGCTCCCCTGTCCGACCTTACCTCTGGTTACAAAGTCCTTCCTGAAAGCTTCCTTCCAATCACTTAGGCTCGGGGTCACTGCCATCTTTCCTCTTACAGTTCTTGTCATTTTCTACCTCTGCACCTTTGTTTACCTTAGTCTTTCCTTCCCCTTGCTTGGTAAGCACTTCCTCAGCAGCTCCCGCTTTTGAAGTTTTAGGTAAACACAACCTTCTTTGGAAGGGATTGTGCCCTGTGGTTCCAACGCACTGGCTGTCCCTCTGGAGTTGGCCCTTCCCGACCGGTTATGGAGGGTTGCCGGTTGTATCTGTTACTGAGTCACGAGCGACTTCCCCAAGTGTAGGAGGATGAGACTGATTTGCCTCTGGGACTGCAACTCCTAGCCCTGGACATGGCACTGAGGAGGCGTTCAGTAGGCTCCTGATGAATGAATGAGTGAATGATGAATGAATGGATGGATGGATGAATGGATGGATGGGTGGGTGGGTGGAAGAGCACAGCTCCTGTTCGTTTGCCACAGCTTGGAGTAAACTGGGTGTCACTGATAACATATGGGGCGCTGAGATGCTCAGGATGATGGCTGAGAAGGAGGCCGGGCTCTGACAGGAGGATTGGTGGAGGACGGTGGGACCACAGTGGGGGCCGTTGTGCCTGGGAACGTGCCATGGATGCCTGTGATGTGCCTACACTCCTACTGGGTTCATCTGGCCCTCGATAACCTTACCAAGCGAGTTCCACTATCACCCTAATTTATTGTTATCCTTATTTTGCAGACAAAGAATCGAAGCCTAGATTAGGTGAAATCATTTACTACACACTCTCAGTTAGTGAGTGGTGAAGCTTGGAGTCCAGCAGTTCTGTATGGTGCTGGGGTCTGTGCCCTTGGCCACCTCATTGCACACGTGTGACGTCCAACAAAGCAGTCCCTTTGCTTGCCACACAGTCTTGCTAAGGGTCAGGCCCAGAGCCAAGACCATAAAGTGGACCATGGTCTGTGAGACGCTAAGTGAACAGATGTCATGTAAATAGCTCAGACTGCTGCGTGCACATGTGCGCGGTACGTGGTTAATAATGACCTGGTATCAATGTTTTGGCTGTGGTCACAGGATACCAAGCTCTTCCCCATCCATCAGCTCATTTGATACTCGCGCCTGCCCCATGGTGCCAGTGTCATTATTCTCCAAGTTTTACAGATGTGCCTCAGAAAGATGAAACAGCAAGGTGCCTGGTAGTCACACTCTAGTTAAGTGATAGGACTGAGAAGTCAGTGCATGTCCATTTCCTTGTCTTACAAGTGCTGCGGTTCTGAAGGTAGCTCAGTAATGCTAACGCCCTTCCCTGTGCAGAAAAGGCAGACGGAGCATCAGAGCATCACAGAGGCTAGGGCGGAGACCATGTCTTACGTCCTGAGTGAGTGGGCTTACTGACAGTAAAGCCTACAGTCAGACTGTCCTAACCACCTGGACCCAACAGCTGAAGTGTGACAGGACACTGGGCCCAGGTGGACTCTCCCTCCAGAGTTGGTTTCTAGGTTCTTCCTGTCATGAATGAAGAATTGGACAAAATAAGCACAAAAAGTAGTGAGCTTTTTACATCCCCATCTTTGCTTTCAGGACCTCTTTGGGCCCTGTCTGGTGACTACAAGAACAAAAGGATAAAGGTATGTCTGAAGAGAAGGGGAGTATTTTTGAAAGAGAAATTAAATTTTAAATAAAGCCTGCCAAGAATGCCCACCAAAACCAGATGGACATGTTCAGAAAAGCCTGTTAACAGGACATTTCTTCTTGTGTAACCTGTGCTTGTTTACCTGATGGCCTTGTAATCTAACTTCAAATATAACGGGATATTTCTTCCTTTCTGTAACCCACATGTGTTTAACTGATGGCCTTGCAATGTAATTTAAGATGTTTAAACTCCCTTAGCAACCCATGATGTCACACAACCCTCCACTCACAGTGCACCAAATCTGCCTTGGTACCTCCCTGCTTGCTCTCCCTTTAAAAGTCAGAAAAACCCTTGAGGGGTGGGGCTCTGAATCTTTGGGAGAGAGATCCCAGTCAGGTCCACCAGTGTAATAAACTGCCTCCTAAACCTTCTTGGTGCCATTTCTTCTCGTGTTTGGTCTGTTTTCTGTAACATTTTGAGGGGATTGATGGCAGTGTCTTTTACCATAATAAATTTTATAATCGAGACATTCGTCATGGCTTTCAATCACAGCTCTTCTCCGCAACTCCCCACTCTTCTGATTTATCAGACAAGCTCACTTGTTTCTTTATGGCTTAATTTTCCTTTTGAAGGCTTCTGGGCCGCATAAAACTTACATAGAGTGAACGCCTGTGCTTTTGGCATGTTGACTTGTTTTTTGTTCCAGGGGCTTCCATCATGAGCCTTAGTGACAGGTAAAGAAATGATTATTTTCCTCCCTTACCGTACCTGGAAATGCACTAGTTTATATTTAACTAATAATAATTGTTTAAAAAACACCAAAGCCTTCTTAGGTGTTTATGGCTTTTTAAAAAATCAGCTTTATTTAAGTATAATTTACATACGATAAAATTGACCACACTTACATGTATAATTAGTGAGTTCAACAACTGCATGCAGTCATGTGATCATGAAAATAATTATTGGTTTGACAAATACCAAATTCCTCATATTGCTGTCTGCATTGCAGGAAGCCTCTCACAATCGTTCTGCCTTTTCTAGGATTTCCTCCACGTGACAGGGTCAGGCGGCATCATTTTTTTTTTTTTCTTCTGGTACCGGGAATCGAACTCACGACCTTGCACTTGCCAGGCAGGCCCTGTGCCGCTGAGCTAAATCCCCAGCCCCTAGCATCATAATCTTGATTAAGGAAAGGACGGGCTGGAAATTTTCCTTGCTATCAGCATGTACTTTTCAGCTGGAGCCACGTAGGAGGGAAGCGCGTCCCTCTGCCAAGGCAAATCCCTCCCGGCGGGAGGAAAGACGTTCACTTGATGGCGAAAATTATTAACTCAAATTCCTGAAGTAGCTGGAAATACAGGCGTGCAGCCCGACGCTGCCCACCGCCGTCCAGGACCGTCCTCTCCGGATGGCTCCCACACCCGCGTCTCAGCTCACACTTACATAACGCTTTACAGTTAGAAAGTGCTTTCCCAACCGTTTTACACTTCGGAAAATGCTGTTGCATCCATTAACTTATTTAATCTCTTCCTGCCTGCCCGAAGCTAAACAGGCCCTCAGATGAATTTACTCAGAGTTGGATGATAAAAATACTCTCTGCGCAGCTGCCTCTCTCTTGCCGGGCAGCTCTGTGCACCGGAAGGCGGATGGTTCCACTGCTGTGGGGCTGGAAATTCCTCGGTGACTACACATCGTCACGTGGTTTCTGTCCCCACCCAACGCGGGGTGCCACATGAACTGCGCAGGGGGCGGGGTTGTCTGATCCAACAGCGATTTGGAACTCTGGGCCCCTTAGCCACGCCCCTGCTGCTCCTGCTGGGGGTGGGGGGAGTACGAAGAGGTGACGCCGAAGGAGAGCTAGAGTGTTCCCAAGAACAAGGCTGCTTTATTTTTCTAAAGCCTAATTGTGGGGGTGAGGTGATGTCCTTAGGTGAGTACAGTGGAAGGCAATTCCCCTGGCATCTCTGGGGGTCTTCTCTGCGGGTCTAGGACGTGCCCAGAGATGGGGTGGAGGATGAGTTATGAGGACCCCATGGCAACTGCCTTGCCGTGAAACCAGGGGCAGTACCAGGTTTTCTCAAGGCTGTCTGGGGCAATGACTTAGGAACCGGAGGACCTGAATCCAGGTGCCAACTGTAGTGCCAGCCTGCTGTTTGTGCTTGAGCAAACGTCTTGCCTTCTCCTTAATTATATCATTTACAGAGAGAAGCAAGGTGGTGATTTATGGATGTCTCCTAGAACTGACATTTGAGGACGCTGTGGAAGGGCACATCGGGGGTGAGTATTTGCGAAGGTAGCCCGTTACGGATTTTATCCAGATGTCCCCCCAAGGCTCATGAGCTCATAGGTGGGGCTCTGGGTGTGACCAGCTCCTGAGTGTGTGATTCTGGATCATGCGTGCTCCATCCACTGACTGGCCTGCCATAGTTCTGGGTGTGGATGGTGGACTTACCGAAGAGGGAAGACCTGTCCTGGGTGTGGGTCAGACCAGTAGGTTTGTAGCCTGGACGGAATGCAAAGGGCAAGGAGAAGGAGGACGCACTGTTGCCCGCTTGGCCTGCCACTTGCTGTCTCTTCTGTGCCTCGCCAGTCTGCCTTGCAGCCAGCTGGCTTGGACCGAAACCTCCACCAACTGTGAGCTAAAATAAGCCTTTCCTCCTTTAACTTGGTGTTGGTGTTTTGTCCCAGCAACGAGAAGGTAATCAAGACACAACCACACGCAGTTGGAGTGATGGTCTGAAGGGGAGGGAGTCCGAGTTCGTGCTCTGTGACACAGAAATCTCAGCAAAGCGGCACCGCCAGCTCCTCTCTGCTCTCCAGACCTCTGTTTGCGGCTACACACTCCCTGTCTCCTTGTGCTTCCTCCCCTAGTTTAAACCTCAATAGGTCTCCCAGTTTGTTACACATCAGTATATGTGGAGAAGGTTTCGGAGCAGGCAGACGTGAAATCAAATATTGGCTCCAACATTTGGGCCCCAGTACTGCTCGGCAGACAGCCTTTCTTTTCTGCTCTATGCCTGCTAGAGGGCTAAGGCTGCCAGTGGCACCGGGCTGCAAGGCAGGCAGAATGAGGTGGAACAGGGAGGCAGCTAACGTGTAGCCGCCCTTAATGAGTGACAGCTGCTACAATACTCAATAATAATGGCGTGCTCACAGTTACAGAGCCGGAGACACGGCTGTTCTCTCCCCTGTTCTACTCCACAGGGGCCGCCAAGAGCAGCAGCAGCAGCATCAGAAATGTGGTTTAACTGTGTCCCCTGGAAGCCCTTCCTCCTTGACTTCCTGCCAAGAACAGGCTTGGGGCAGGAAGCCCAGAGCCGGGCCCCAAACCCACACTCACCAGCTGGAGACAGAAAGCCCCCGAGTCGCGTTCCTAGTGTCTGCTCCCTCACTCATTCGCTCAGTGAGTGTACGCTCAGTACTGCCTGTGCAGGCTTTCATAAAGGGGGCATGGAGCCCATCTCCTGCCCGCAGGGTGGACATGTGGTGCTGAGGGGCTGATGGTGGGACTTCAGGAACTTCCTGGGCATGCATGATTGTTACTGCTCGTAAAGTCACGCCTACCAGGGTGCACAAGCCGGTATATTAGGCAACTTTCCATGGGTGGGGGGAAATTTCTGACACTGAAAATTTCAAGGAAGAAAGCTCTATTTTAGTGCATGGGCTCAGTCCGTGGTCGGCCAGCTCCAAGGAAGAAGCATCAGGGCAGAGAAAAGCTGCTCCTCCCAGGGCAGGCAGCAGCAGAGAGCAGGACGAGGGCCAGAGAGAAGAGTGGACTGTGGGCAGATCTGTCCTCCAAAGGCACCGCCTCAGTGACCCACCTTTTCCAACCGGGCCAGCATCCTCACAGCACATTCAGCTAGGAACTCACGGATGGATTAATCCACGGATGAGCACAGCGTGCGTCCCTTTGAGCCAGTCATCTTCCAGAGCTTCACCTCTGAACACAGGAAGCTTTGGGGGGACATTTTTGATCCAAAGAATAGTGGCTGGGTATGTTAAATGGTGAATGAGGCAGGAAAGGCGGAGAGGCTGCTGTTGGGGGGGGTGTGGGTGAAGGACTCGCCTCAAGGCACCAGAGGGAGGTGAGGCTGGGAGGGGTTAGGTGGTGCCAGGTGCAGCCAGTGTGCATCCGGGCATCCCAGGCTTCCCAGAAAGGCTGCGAGCTGGGAGGGAGGGAGGGATGGGCACGGCACCACTGCAGCTGTGGCGAGCAGCATGCTCAGAAGGGTGCAGCAGGAGCCCCAGCGGCCTGGAGGAGCCTGAGGGCCCAAGTTCCTGGGGGCATCTTATCACTGTAACAGGCAGAATCTCGCACATTCCCACGGCCACGTCACTGCAAGGTGCCCTTCTGCTGCAGTGCCAGTGTGCGGCAATTCGAGAGAAGATGCCGTTTGAAGCGGGTGTGATGCACGCTTCTTGTTCCTCATTCACGTCTGTCTCCTGCCAAGGAGCCTTGGTCACTAAAACACCAGCGCTAATGAAATTGCCAATCTCAACAGTTTTAAGAAAATAAACAGTGGCTAACATTTGCAATCATCTTCTAAGCCTTAACCATTGTTCTAAGCATTTCTTATGGATTATGCTATTATCACACTCACCTTATAGATGAGGAAACTGTGGCATAGATTGAGTTGCCTGCAATCACATGGCTGGCAAGTGTCCCAGGTAGGATTCAAACCCAGGCATCTGCTTTCAGAGGCCAGCATGTTAACCATGACAGAGTATTTCCCTGTACAAAATAGATGCGCTGCCACACCAGCTTACAAACTAGTGGTGGAGAGGGATGGAAAAAAATCAATGAACTGATGAAATAAATCATTGCCAGTTGTAAAGAAGACAGCTTTACAATTGTCGAGACAGGAGATGGTCTAAGGCTCCCTTTGGATAGGGCAGGCTGAGCGGGGAGAGCTTGAGAGAGACTTGACGAAAGGTAAGAGGTGAGGCAGAGGACAGTGAGGAGCTGGCATGTGGGCAGAGCTGACTTCAGGCTGTCCAGGATTGTGGTGGGTGCAGAGTGTGAGGGGTACAGGGGAGGCACAGAGGTGGGCATCTTGAGAGGGGTTCTGAGACCCTGGGGCCTCAGGGTTGCCACCAGTGCTGATTAGAAGACATAGACTAGAAGACAGGAGTCCTACAGCTGGCCCAGCAGCTCATGGTAACAGAGCAGGCTGATGCCAGGGGAGAACACTGAAGAACCCGATAAAACACAGAGCATAATACTTGTTCCTAGAGAAATACTGATTGTAGGGCGAGCGATGGAGAGCCAAGGCCTGGAGCATCTTGCAGCATCAGAAAATCAGGATGTGCTCAAGGGAAAACCCACAGCGATGCAGGTAAAACAAAGGGACACAGCAGCCAAGGAGCGGGTCCAGTGCCAGAGCTGCAGCAATGTGAGCTACAGAGTAAATAAAGTGGTACTGCATTAGAATCCAAGTGACAAAATTACCACCCATGAGTCCATAAGGACACAAATGCACAGCTGAACAAATCCGTCGTTAGGTAGGACAGAATGGAGAAATCTCCCCTGCAGAAGAATTCCAAACAATTTATGTAGATCCTCTGCTCCTAAGAAGACATACCCTAACTCTCCACTCCTTAAGTGTGGGCAGCACACAGTGACTTCCTTCTACAGAGGACAGTGTGGAAAGGGGGCAGGGAGAATGGGTAACTTTACCGAGGAGAAACCTAAAGAGCACTACCTCTGCCAGGGGATCCAGGCTCAACATCAACATCGACCAGTCATGGTGACAACACGCAGCTCCCTTGGTGTGATGTGATGATCTCCGTGGTCTTCCTCCCAAATCCCCAATCCCAGTCCTGTCATGAGACATCAGACAAGTAAGGAACATCGTACGAAACTCCTGACCAGTCTTTCTTAAGACCATCAAGGTCATCCCAAACAAGGAAAGTCTGAGAAACCATCACAGGTAAGAGAAGCCTTGGGAGACGAGACATCCTGGAACCCTAGAGGGGATCCTGGGGCTGAAAAAGAGCATCAGGTTAAAACTAAGGGAGTCTGAACAAACTCCAAACTTCAGTACATAAGAAGTGAACACTCTTGGCTTATTACTTGTGAGATACACCATACCGCTAATGAAAAATGCTGGTAAAGGTGCCTTAGTTACTTTCCTTGTCACTGAGACACCACACCTGACTTGCACAATTTGAAGGAGCAGAGCTTTACTTCGGCTCACATCTCAGGCCGTGGTCAGCCTGCTCCAAGGCAGGAGGGTATGGTGGAGGAAGAGCTGCTTATCTCATGGTGGTCAGGAAGCAGAGAGAACAGAGAGGAGTCAGGGGTGGGCGTGGGGATAAACCCCTCTAGACCACACTCCCAGAGCCCCCACCCCACTTCCTAACAGTACATTTAGGTATAAACACATAAGTGGACTAACCCACCAATGAATATCACACCCCTATGATCTAATCACTCCCCCAAAGTTCCATCTATGCTTGTATGAGGCTTTTGGGAAACATACAGATAGACACCATAACAACAGGAGAAACTAGATTTGGGGTGTACGGGAACTCCTACACTAATTTTACTTTTTTTCTATAGCAGAAAACTATTCTAAAACTAAAAGTTTGATGGAGACCACTATGAAGCGCTCTGAGCAGGACTTAAATTAACCAATTGGCTTTCCATGTTTACTTGTGAGCCTGTCCAAGGCCTAGGCCCCTTGTCTGCAGATACCCAGATTCATAGTAAGTGAACCTCTGTGAGTCACTGGTCACTACTGAGGCCTGTAATTGCAGGTGAAACTGTGAAGCCTCAAAGGATAAGATAAGGTCACAGCCAAGGACACCTGGATCCAAATCCAACTAGATAAAGACTGCAGCCTCAGGCATCTCACTCCTGGGTGGATTAACCTAATACCTTACTTGGAGAAGTCCTTGAGTGGTTCTGCTCTTCTTGAGTATTCTCCTTCCTTCTTCTGATAACTAAATAAATATGGGCCACCTAGAGAAGGCCGTGGTTTTAGCCCCAAGAGAATCACGAATTCTGTGAGAGGGCTTTGATCCTCCTGGAGCCCTGAAATCCTTCCATTTGCCTCTTTTATTTAGCCTCCACTGTACACTCATTTGGGAGCTTGCAGACCTGATCAGTCCGCAATAACTAAGGGATATTATTAACTTGATAAAAGTTTATTTTAAAATTTCACCCAACTGGGTTCATTTAGTGAAGAAACAAAGAACTCTGCATACTTTCTTAGAATCTATGAATATCTTTGTTTTGTAAAGTAATAGATATTCATTGTAAAATTTCTAGTTTGAAAAGATAACATTATTTGTCGCTACTAATTTTAGAGGCAGGGATGAATATAATGTTTTGAGAAAGATACTGATGACCTCTTTAGCTCATACAGTGGTTAAAAGGTCATTGACAGAGATGATGTGGGTCTCAGTTAGTTCCTGCAGCTGTAACAGAATACCTTAGGCTGGATAATGTATAAAGGACAGAAACTTGCTTCTTATAGTTCTGGAGGCTGGAAGTCCAAGATCAAGGTACTACCAGATTTGGTGTCTGCTAAAAGGCTCTGTCTCTCTCCTTAAAGATGCTGCATGCTTTGGTTTGGATGAGAGTCCTCTGAAAGTCTGGCCTGGTCCCAAGGGTAGCAGGATTGGAGGTAGTGAAACCTTTGAGAGGCAGGGTCTACTGAGATGTCCTTTGGCCCTTAACGGCCTGTCCTCAATATGATTCTGGGACCCCATCTATCTTCTCTCTTGCTCCCTGGCTCACAATGTGAGTATTCATTTCAACGCTTATGCTTGCCACCATGGGCTGCCCTCACCAGAGATTCCCTTTCTGAAATCAGTGGGGCAAACCAGTTTTGTAGTTGAACCATTGTAACCCTCAGCCAAAATAAATCTTTCTTTGTGTAGGAAGTAGACTGGGCCTAGTATGTAGTTGTAGTGATGCAAAGGTCACTCCGTGCTGCTGGATGTATGGCAGAAGGGGTGAAAAGGGGCCAGCTGGTGTCCTTGAGCTAGTATAGGGAGTTCCTTTCATCCTTACAATCCATCAGTCCCATTCAGGCAGTGTGATGGCTACTCATGTCAACTTGATAGACTTGAGAGATGCCTAGATTAGCAGATTTCTGGATGGGTCCTGAGAATGTGACCTCGGAGACTATATCTGGTCCCTGACCCCTCCCTTGGGTGATGTTTTCCAGATCCCTGCCCTGGCTTCCATGAGGCGAGCAGCTTTCCTCTGCCACACCCTTCTGCCAGGATGTTTCTGCCTCAGAGCCAAGTGACCACGGACCGACCCCTCTGAAACCGTGAGACAAACTTCTCCTTTAAGTTGTGTCTATCAGAGGTCTTGTCCCATGACAGAAAA